GCTTGGAGAACGCTATAAATGCCCTTACGCCATCCCCCGTGCCCTTTTGGGACTGGTCTTTAAATAGCAGCCAGCCCCCCCCGGCAGGGCCCGGTCCGGCCCGGCCTGCTCCCGCCCGGCTGAGAAACTGAGAGGAAAGCAGGGAGGCAGGTGGAGCGCTAGGGGTGATGAAGGGCTCCAGGGACATAAACTCCGTTTGTCCGCCTTCTCCTTGTGGCTCTGGTAACCTGGGCCAGCCTGAGCCGTGTCGCTTCGTAGCGCTTTGTTTTCCCTGCGCTCCACCGGGCTTGGAAGGAACAGCGCGTCTGTGTCGCTGTGGTGATTCACTGCCTTTGTGGTTTGTTTTCTTCTTCTTGAAATAATGCCGGTGGAAGGTGCCAACTCGATGACCTTCGGGGAGCGTAGGCCGCCACCGGTTTGAAGAGCCCCGGCGCTCTTCGTTCAGCGCTGGGGCGGGCCGTGCTGGGGCGGCCGCGATAAGAGCGCGGGTAGGATGCAGCCTGTTCGGCCTTAAAGCGTCTCATCCTGGAGACAGGCGTCTGAGTCAGGGTGGTCCTGCCGCGGGTTACTCATTTACAGCGCTAATCCTGCAGATGGCAGGCGAGGGAATTGCCGTGATGTCACACCCTAATGGCTTTTCCTTGTGGATAGCCATTGTTTTGGGGGGGATTTTTTGGCCATTAAAAGGTACTTTTTGGCGCTTGAATGTAGTTCTTTTTTTAACTGTTACTGCCTTCCATAAGCCTTTTTAAAGTGCCTTTCATATAAATTTGCCACATCCTTCCCTGTGCTGTGTTCAGGCACATTTTAAATGAGTTATTTTAATCTTATGAGTCAGCCTTGCCTATCGCTGCTACCTCTTTGATTTTTCTGTGAATCCTTAAGTCATCTTTGGGAGGCCGAGGCCTAGATACTGCACTTCTAGGTCATGTACAACCTGCATATGAAGGCATGCGTCTCGTCTCTCCGACCTGTGAGGTGATGCCTCTGAAGGAGTGGTTTTGCAGCCTGGTGCTTCGCAGCCTGGTGCTTCACAGCCCCCTTTTGCTCAGGTTTCGATCTCTCTGAGTCTGAAGGTTGTTTATTCTCCCCTCTTTGGGAACACCCAGTGGTTAGCAAGCCTAGGATGAATGGAAAGCTGCACCTCTTTTCAGCTGGTTGCAAACAATGGCAAGTGAACTCATGCATAACAGTCATGTCAGCAGCGGCCTTTCAAACCTTGCTTTTCTCAGAGGTTTAGGAGTGTTTCCCCTTTGGTTACATCTGTATGAGAACCCTAAGTGCAGCAGAAAAAAACATCAGTCTGACTTTCGCTCCCTGTAACAGTGGTTAGATGATGTGTGAGGAAAAATCTTTCTCCTGTCCCTAGACTTATTTTTACCGACGGCTGGGATCCCAAACTACGTTTGGATGGAGTGAGATGCTCCATGTTGTAATTAACACCGCTCCAGAATGGAAGTACTGGAGCTATAATTAGCTCGTATTCAGTTGCAGAGGACAGTGATTACGTGCTAGCCAGAGGCCTGGGTAGTTGGCGTGCTGGCAAAAGGAAGGCTTGCGCTGGCGGAGGGGTGCGGGATTCCAGTTTTGGCAGGCCCTCAGCAGGCTGTCCCGCAGAGGGCAGCAGCAGGCAGGAGAGCTCCTGCCTGATCAGCCTGGACTTAGCAAACGCTGTTGCTGCCTGTGCAGTCGTGGTGGATCACAGAACAGCCCAAGTCACCCTCGGTGGGGAAGGGAAGGCGGCCTTGCAGAAGTGGATGTGTTGCCCAGGAGGGGGGTTTTTCCACCCGTGAGGTGGTCTTCAGCCAACCACAGCCGCCCTGCCACCCTTGCTCTGTCCCAGCGTTTGTTTGCTTTCTCTACCTTGTGTGCTTATGCGAATGCTGCGATGTTTTTCAGATGCGGTTGTGTGCAGCAGTGAGAGCTTTTATGCGCTTCCTGCTGGGTCGTCGGCTCTGGCCTGTGATGTGAGGTTCCCTTTCTCTTGTCACATTCCTTTTTCCTTGCAAGGCGTTCTGCCAGAGAGCTTTCACTTTCTTGAAGCTTGGTACTGCGGTCATTTGTTCCCTTTTCTTGTTTTCCAGCTCCAGCTGACTGCAGCAGCCACTTCCTGTGTTTTTTTGGCTCAGTTTTACCTCTGCTACCTTCTCCTGGAATGGGGCTGGCAGCACCTCCCCTGACATCACCTTGGACCACGCACCTCTTACGCAATCCTCTGGAATTGCAGCCCTGCTTTTCCCTGACCTTGGCTAATCTCCTTCCTTTTGCAATACTTCTAAGCACCTTTCCCAGCAGAGGGTTGCAATTAGAGAGGCAAGTACGGAGTTGCATACCTCTGTAGAGGGAGAGCAGGTCAGAGCTCCTTTAATCTAATAGGAAATGTCTCCTTCCCTGTCATATGCAGCACTTTCTTGTGGTAGGCAGTCATCCACCAGGATTGCTCCCTTCCATTTCTTTCAGCGCTTCCCGTTTCGCTGTGGGAAGACCTGTCCCTGGTGATCAAAGGCATCCTTCTGCAACTACAGGAGCAGAATGAGGAAGAAGGATTCTGGATGAGGGATCAGAAGGCCTGCTGGCTAGATCTCTGCAATTAAACGTGTCTTGGAGCAAGACTTGAGGAAATGCATATCTATGCTCCCTGCCTCAGTTTCCCTCATCATTAGCATGGGGATAATTGCGCTTGCTTCCTCTGGGGAATGGACTTGACCTCTGTATGCTAAATCTCCTTTCCACATGTGCCCTGTCATTAGAGCAACTGGCTCAGCGAGACAAGCAAACGAGAGAAGCAAATACCAGAGTTAGAGGTGAGCTGTGCATCTTGCTGCTTCCTCGTGTTCGAGTCCTCCTGCGAGACTGGGCAGCTCGAGGGGTGTCTTGATCCCTCGACCAAGCGGGTGGCCATGCCCTCCTGGCCGGTGTAGGGACTGACAGTGCCTCGCTGGGGAAGGCTTGCCTGGGTTTGCTGTTTTGTATTCCTGAGGGGGGAAGGTCCAGGACAGCCAGGGGATGCTCTGAGAACATGGGAACGCTCTTGCTGCTGAGGAACAATATTGGCAGCAGGCAAAGATGAAAGAAAACCGAGAGGACGGAAGCCTTAGTCATAGCCGTGGCGTGGGGGCTGGTAGGTAAGGTATCTGGGTAAGCCGAAACCAGAACAGAGAGAGGAAGACCTGCCAGGTTGGAGAGAGCACCTTGAATTTACGGGGCTGGAGTGAAAATCGAAGGCCTCAAGCCCGCGAGGGGGAGCCCCGATGAAGTCATTCACTACACCACTGATGAGGTCAGCTCCAGGCTGGAACAGATCCCCTGCCGATACCGCGCGCTCCGCATTCAGGTGTCAAGAGAGGCGCTCGGAAAGGTGAACAGATTCACCCGTGCTCGCTCTAGCCCTGACTTGCTGTGTTATTGCTAGCAGATGGAAGGGACATCATTAGAAAGCACAAGTAATGGGGAAAAAATGGCTTCAGAGCCTGGATTTTGCTGAGATACAGCCTGGCTGTGAAGAGCAGCAGGAGGGAGAAGAAGGAAAAAAATCCTATTGTAAAGGCATTTCTCACAGGCACCCAGGCATGATCTGAGCAGAGGTTCTGCGATGCGAAACTAGGCATCCTGGAGCAAGCCAGGGCGCCCAGCTGCGGCAAATCCCCAAGCCCGGATGACGAATACATCCCCGCATTGCGGCGACAACGGAGTGTGACTGAGCGAAGCGTTTGCCGGGGATGTTTAGCAGCAGCGCGAGGAGCTCAGAGGCGCAGCCGTGCGCAGCGTCTCTTTTGCGGCGCGGCGCAGGGAGGAGGCATTCCCGCGGCAGGGTGCCCCAGCGCCGAACGCACGTGCTCTTGGCTGTGCACCTGGCACCTGGCTCAGTTTTGGCAGCTGATGAGCTTGAATAGATGGGCTTTGGCCCAGACTTGAAAAATCCCCCATTGCCGGCCTCTGCTGCTTGGCACCGCAGCCAGCTTCAGCCCTGCTTTTGGCAGCGGTGAGGAGCAGCAGGGCGGAGTGAACCCAGTGCCGGGGCACAGCAGACGTGGGGTTAGGAATAAAAAGAAAACTACGACGTGGGAGGAGGAGGAGAGAGATGCAGAGTCTGTATATGCAGATTTCCTGAGGACAGAACTGGCCTTTCATAGGCTCCTGGTCCCCCTGGCTTCGTCTGTCTTAGCAAACGTGACAGGAGCGGGGCCAGGCCCGAGCGCTGCCTCGGGATGACGGCTGATGCA